ACAAAGCATTGTTAAACATAAATAGATTATACTTTCAGTTCAGATGATCAGAAGAAAGATATACTCGTAAAGTCCCTATATATAAAATAGCTAGTTACGAGTATTTAGAATTTATGCTTCGCAATATTTACTCTCAACAGAATAATCAACTGATTGACCGACTTAAAGACGACTTCGTATTAACGGACCATTTAAAAAAAGGATATACAAATCCTTGAAAACCAGATACGTTAGAATAAAAAAAAGTTTTAAACCAATGTAAATAATACTTGAGGTCCTTATATATTTAACAATGCACATAGTATTTTTGTGTACATTCTGTTCTTCTTGTAAATACTAATCACGCAGCAGCCTAACGATATTACTTGGTCAATTGCAAAAGTTATCATATAGAGGTCGCTTTATACTTTTTAATGAGATATGTGTATGCATTTTATACTGTTACTTTTATATTTCTCAGCACACATTGGCGTACATAATATATAGCAAATTATACTAAAATCAACTTCATTTTTACGTAATTAACAGTCTCTTTGAAATAGATCACTATCATTTATATTTTTGAAACATGGAATAAACGCAATGATTGTCTACTGTTTATTCAAATAGCGGCGATATTTGTCTGTTATAATTACAAAACATAAGCAACAATGAACTATATAGAATGAGCAGTTTAATGACATGTTAAGAAGGGGAATTAATTTTGTTCTGGCTCTTAAACATAATTGAAAAATACAAATTTAACCGTACTTACATGTAATACATGTAATATAACATTATGTGATATTCATCAGGGTTTTAACAAAAAAGACAGACAAATAGAATAACAAATAATTAAAAACGAAGTATATTCATCAGCTGAGAATAGGATAAATCTAGAGGCTCATAGGGGCATGAATCGCTAATTGGAATAAACCATACAGTCTTTACTGACGATAGTCCTAACTTAGGAGGCTTCTAGGGGCATGAATCACTAATTGGGATAAACCATACATTCTTTACTGCAGATAATCCTAACTTTAGAGGCTCCTAGGAGTAAAAATCACTAATTGGGATAAACCATACATTCTTTACTGAAGATAGTTCTAACTTTAGAGGCTACTAGGAGTAAAAATCACTAATTGGGATAAACCATACATTCTTTACTGAAGATAGTTCTAACTTTAGAGGCTTCTAGGAGTAAAAATCACTATTTGGGATAAACCATAAATTCTTTACTGAAGGTAGTTCTAACTTTAGAGGCTCCTAGGAGTAAAAATCACTAATTGGGATAAACCACACATTCTTTTCTGAAGATAGTTCTAACTTTAGAGGCTCCTAGGAGTAAAAATCACTAATTGGGATAAACCATACATTCTTTACTGACGATAGTCCTAACTTTAGAGGCTCCTAGGAGTAAAAATCACTAATTGGGATAAACCATACATTCTTTACTGACGATAGTCCTAACTTTAGAGGCTTCTAGGAGTAAAAATCACTAATTGGGATAAACCATACATTCTTTACTGACGATAGTCCTAACTTTAGAGGCTTCTAGGAGTAAAAATCACTAATTGGGATAAACCACACATTCTTTACTGACGATAGTCCTAACTTTAGAGGCTTCTAGGAGTAAAAATCACTAATTGGGATAAACCATACATTCTTTACTGACGATAGTACTAACTTTAGAGGCTTCTAGGAGTAAAAATCACTAATTGGGATAAACCATACATTCTTTACTGACGATAGTCCTAACTTTAGAGGCTTCTAGGAGTAAAAATCACTATTTGGGATAAACCATACATTCTTTACTGAAGGTAGTTCTAACTTTAGAGGCTCCTAGGAGTAAAAATCACTAATTGGGATAAACCACACATTCTTTACTGAAGATAGTTCTAACTTTAGAGGCTTCTAGGAGTAAAATTCACTAATTTGGATAAACCACCCATTCTTTACTGAAGATAGTTCTAACTTTAGAGGCTCCTAGGAGTAAAAATCACTAATTGGGATAAACCACACATTCTTTGCTGAAGATAGTACTAATTTTAGATGGAAAAAAAAGTTACTAAGAGTGATGTGACAAAATGATACACTCGAACTAGAGTTATTTTTTAATTTGGTTTCAATGGCTGAGCTGATCCCATGCATGTTCGCCACCTGGATTCATATTTAATATTGTATTATCAATACAAATGTCTTACGTTTGGTTACAATTGTTTCACTGGTCCATAAGAAGACGATTGTTGAATATCAAAATGAGGAGATGTGATATAGGTGACAGGATTTGAAATTGTGACGAAAGTATCAGGATTTCGATTGGTTCACTGATCTTTTTGATGAAGATAGTTATTATTTTTAATAATAATAACCCATTTTTCTTCAGGAACAAAGTAACAACACTTAGTATTTACATCATAAAAACTTATCTACAAGGGCTGATTTCATCTTCTTCAATTGTTTTCTTCATGTAAAATAAAACTCTAATTTTATTTTGGATGTATTGATGGATGGCTGTTTAAATATCCAGTGGCAAATTAAATGCATATTCAGGACGAGAACTGAATATTGTGAAATTAGTACAAACATTGCTTTGTACTAGACCGACATGCCAGGTCGGAGTTTCAACGTGCTAGTTCAAAAGGTAACATGCCGCAGAAAGACATATCACCCGACCCAGACACATTATTCTGACTACGATCGCGAGCCGACCAGTATTAATTTTTGTTCTTACTCCTAAACGCCGCGTGCTTAGCGCAGAAGCAGCAAATACCAACTGTCATGTCTTTGGTTGACCCGACCGAGCTTCTTACTAACTGATTATTCAATCTTTCTATGTATAACGTTTTTTCAGTCCAGCCAATCAAAAACCATGCAGAATAAGCTATGGCGGATATGTTTTTTTTTGTGAATCTGCACTAAAGTATCAACACTATTTGAGAAAAATTTTGAAAAAATACTTTGATATCAATTCTGTTCAAAGATTTTCTAACATGATATTGAAATATGAAATTTTAACGGACGGACGACAACAAATGATTAACAATGGACGCTAGGTGATTGTACTGTGGTCTATGACTAGGTGAACTAAATTAGTCGTATGTGAACCACTTTGTTTATTAATGGTTCTGTTTGTACCTCTCTGTGTTTGCAGGCATTGCATCTGTCATCTCAACTCTGTAACGTCTTATGTTGGTATATTGTATTGACTATATTTCATTAAATAGAACGACCCTAAATGATGGATAGATGCTTAAGTCCAAACTTTCAACCATATGCAGCTTATAAATACATGCTTTGCTTTTAACCAGAGAGGCTCATTGGCCTGAAGTTTTAACGCAATATTCTCTAAAATAACAGTCTTCCTGTGTACACATAATGCTTACTTTGAGTTGACTGATCCCTGCTTTTACTCCTTCTGGTGAGTGATCGTCATAGAAGCAGACAATACAAAATGCAATCAAACCATTGTGAATTCCATGCATCCGTAGCGCTTTTTCTTGATTTACTTTCATCAGGAACGCAAAATCCGAATATTTAAAAGCCAAGGATGTATAAGAACTGAAATAGTTGAAGAGCTGTAGGACCAAAAAATACTTAAACAAACGGTATTAACAGTCGTATATGAGTTGATCCGTGTGAGGTGATATCAAGACGAACAAGATACTATGAAACAACCTTTTTGGTAAAATGTTAGTTGATTAATTAAATGCAGTTATCTCTCTTTCTGTGTAGAAACATTGCTGTAGTTTTAAATTATTATAACTATAAAATACAAATGCGAAAATATTCATAATTTTAAGATTGAAATATTAAAACATCATACGTTCAATACAGATACTAGTACTGTCAACGTACACTGTAGAACGCCGCACGCTTGAAAACCGCCACCCGTGTCAAACATAGCCAACACCTTGCGTGTGGCGTTCTACACGGTGACGTATAGAATGATTATCATAACAATGTGGACATGGACACCTAGCTGGTATTTAATTATCGTGTCGGTCACTGGCTGTCGACAACGAAGACTTCACGCAATTACAGTATGTAAGAGGCCTCTCACTCGGGATGCACGTAATTACTATCTTTACACATGTCCATTCATAAAAAAAAATTTTGCATGAAAGTTTATAGGCATTTGATTTGAATATATTTATATACTCATAGCAAAAAGTTTCCTTTGATTTTGAAAGAATGAGTATATTTAGAGGTGATATGAACAAGTAATCAAGAAAAATAGTTATACTTTTTGTTGCACAAACGTTCTGTGGCTCATTAAAAAATACGAAAACATTTATTCATATGATGTAGAATAATCAACGATCAATTTTCATACTAAGATTATTATTGTTGGTAATAAGAACCCGGACCTTCATACAAATCATATTAGTCCTCTGGGCTACACAATTTTTTGCACGGAACAAATTGTAATTCCCACCGAAGACTCCAACGATCAGATTTTCGTGAACATTTAAATATCATTCTAACAAAAAATAACAAATAAAGCATAGTTATAAATCCGGTCTTTTGTGCAAAATTTACGTTGATTGGAGTCTGATATTACATTAGGTCAGATATCAAAGGCACCATACTATAGATGTATGGGTTTATTTATCTATGACCATACACATATAGTGTTTTTCGACAGGTACATGGTGCTGGGTTGGCCTTAACTTTTTAAAGGTCTATTAACTTTTCTCTTGTAACAAATCTGCTTTATTTTCAAAATGTTACTAAGAGTAGCTTTTGTTGAAACATTGATATTTACTTTAGATTTTGTAATTACCTGAACACATATAACAAAATTTACGGGATCGATATTTTTTTACTAAAAATGAAGCTGGTAATTTCTATGAATTTGGTCTTGCTCAACTATTTTTTTTGTTATTTGAGGACGAATATTTGAGACAATTCTGCATACATCTTTAATTTCATTTTTTTAAATTCGGATTTCAAAGGCCCTCCCTTATTTTAACTGAATCAAGAATGGTCGCTCCAATAGAATTTAAAATTGTACTCACTTCTTTTTCGGTTTCTGTGTTTCAATATATATCCATGAATTAAATGATAGGTCCACAATACATCTCGTCGCTGGGCTTCCAAAATGTTGTAAATTACTAATTTTTCAAAAAATAAAAATCTCACGAACAGACTTTGAAAATTTGGTTGAAATGCAAGCTTCCAAAATGTTGTATGTAAACTTGAACATTTTTGTAAATGGCATTGAAAAAAAAACTTTGACATTTCTGGATTACCCAAAAACTTAATTTATTTTCACAGAAATAAAGAAATGTACAAGTATTTGATTCCTAAAGCCATTATACAACAATTTTCAAGTTTACATACAACATTTTGGAAGTAAACTTTACAAAAAACAGAGATTGGCAATTTTGTAACATGTCTTATTTTAAATGTTTTGATTGGTCTAGCTGTATGCTATTTTGGAATATCAAAGATTTCCTTCCGCCAAGACGATTTGTGTCAAAAAGTAGTTTTAGACAAAAATTTTAAATACGACATTTTGGAAGCGCAGCGACGATCTGTTTTGTAATAATAAATCATGTGCACATAGACTAGGTTATTATCTACATTACCCGTAACAGTGTGTTATTAACCAGTCAAGTGCATTATGTATGAAACTGTCCCTTTATTAACAAAAGCAAAAATGGTCCATTAGAGATTAACAAGGCATTAATACAGGGCAATTATGAATAAACAGGGCCATTATGAAAAAACTGGGCTATTAAAAAAAAACATGGCCAGTACGAATAATTAGGGCTATTACAGATGTTCAGTTGTTATCAATTCAAATATATTTCTGGTGAAAGGAAACATCACCCAAAAATCATGACTTATTTTATTTGACCCAGTTGTTAAGTTATTAATTACATAATACATTCCATGATGTGTATCAATTTATTAAAATTTGAGTTTTAAAATCCAGAATGAAATCTTGTATTTTGTATGCCATAAATTGCTTTGAATAAGACAACAATAAAACTATATTTACATGTAAATGGTAATTCTTCACATCACTTTAAAAGTTTTTTTTTAATATTGCAATTGGTATAATTATATATATATTTTTCCACAAAAAAAAAAAAAAAAAACATTATTTGGCTTCGTTAAATATTATACATTGACAGTTTGGTTAATAAAAGTGTTAAGAAATGGGTGTTTTCACATTGGCCCTGTTATTTTTTATTGGTGATTGACCAATTCAATGAATGATTTGCAATGCATGATGGACTATATACAAAAAGATGTGGTATGATAGCCAATGAGACAACTCTCCACAAGCAACCCTGAAGCTGGTGAACAAATTTTTAAGATCTGAGGGTGGAGATTGAAGATTATGCTATATAACAGAAAAACAAAGGATATGGGGTATCCATCCATGACACAAAATCAGAACATGCACAGCCGAAAACAAACAAAAAGCAAAGGAACAGAGCTTTTATTTCCGTTCTTCATCTCAAAGTCACAATGAGGTCGTCAACACGGAACAAAAAAACTCTTACCTCACTGCAAGTTTACATTTCATTCATTACACTTGACGAGCAAAAAACAGAAACGTGAGATTTCGAGCTGAAATAAAAACAAAAAAAAACCTTTCAACCAAATTCCACGTGTTCTTAGTTGATAGTAAACTCGTAGTTGCCCACAATTCATTGTGTTTCATTTTGTCGATTGGTCAATTCATCATGAACATATTTACATTTTGTATTTTTCAAATTAATATATAAAATGTATTTGACGTCAAAACACTGTTGGTGTCGACGTGTTTAAAGCAAAATCTTTTCATTATTACTATTTCTACATTTCCTTTAGTGTTTGTTATTCTCGTTTAATGTGTATGGGTGCTGAAAGACTCAATGACCTATACCCGACATCTCCTTTAATATCGTCCTGAACATGCATGATATATTTGCTACTGGACGTTATGCAACCAACAATCAATCAATCGCCTTTAATTAAGATTTTGCATTCGTTCTAAAATAAATTTGACAAGATAAAAGTTAAAAGATACTATATGAAAAAATTAGACAACCGCAACTGTTAAATCGCTTTGACGTCCGAAAAAGATAATAGCCAACACGTGCATTGTAACTTTTAAAGCTAGTTAAATTATAGGATATGTTTTCCGTTTGGAACTTATATTATGAAGGAACTTCTATTTCGTGAGAATCGTGACAGTACGTGAAACTGTATTAACTAACCAGATTCTTGGTTGATCTGATTTAAAACATGTGGAATTCTTCAACATTTATAACTCAACAGCGAAGCGCAATGATATGATAGATAAATTTATTTAATTAAAGTGTCACGTATTGATCTCACACAACAATAGATATTTACAGGTACAATCACATAAAAAAAGATCAACACCCTGTATAACTGTTACATTTAATCAACATAACCTTTTAGACGGATTACATTTTTTTAATTATCACAGTTATCGCTATAAGATAGTATATATTTCAATTGTATCTAGCATTGTGAACGGTTTTTGTAACGTGCCAATGAGTTTTAAGATTGTAGGAATGATGTTATTTATCAGCACACGCTGCAGGTTTCGGCAATCAAACGGGAACAAACGATTTTATTTGACAAAATTGTCTAAATTCTATCTTTACAGTTAATGTTGATGCAGTTTCGGCAATCAAACGGGAACAAACGATTCTATTTGACAAAATTGTCTAAATTCTATCTTTACAGTTAACGTTGATGCAGTATCGGCAATCAAACGGAAACAAACGATTCTATTTGACAAAATTGTCTAAATTCTATCTTTACAGTTAACGTTGATGCAGTTTCGGCAATCAAACGGGAACAAACGATTCTATTTGACAAAATTGTCTTAATTCTATCTTTACAGTTAACGTTGATAGAACATCAGTTGTATAGGAATGAAATGAATTTTAAGTCATTTAGACATAATAATTATTTTATAAACAATGCGGTGAGGGTCTGGATGAGGGTTAAAGAATACAGAATAATCGGTAATAGGTGCCTGGAAATAATGGAAACACATGTAAAGAATAGAAAAAATAGGCTAAAAAATACTGATTAGAGAATAATAGGGGTGCATGCTAAAATATTACGAATAGAGAATAACAGGCCAAATTTATAAATACTATAGAAAAAATGGCCTACAAAATAAAGAAATATAGAAATGAAGGACCATCCATCCAGACCCTCATGCCATATGTTTTAGTTTCGACATTTCAACGGGAACACATGATTCGATTTGACAAAATTGTCTTAATTTTATCTTTACATCTAACGTTGATAGAAAATCAATTGTATAGAAATGAAATCATATCTAAGCCTTTAAGACATATTTTATAAACAATGTAATATGTTTTGATTACAACTGGTATATACCAGCATACTGTGAAACATTGTATGGCACGATGGGATGGTATCCAATATCGTATGGTGGTATGGTATAAATACCACCAAACCGCTGTATGCATTATTGGTATGATAGTAAGGTACTGTGGTATGCTACAAATGACCATACGAGAATTTTATTTGATGGTATGGAGCATGGTATGGTTTGAAGTATGAGTTTTTTCCAAGTAAAAGATAATATGAAGCATGATTTTTTGTTAAAAATGTTTAAATCTGCACAAAAAGACATCGACAGCTCATATTTAAGATATTCAAGATAACAAAAAGATCAGACAGTACTATAAATATCATAACAAGGCATTGCAGTCAATATGTTCTTAGAAAGTCCAAATATCAAATGATTACGATCTTGATGATGTAGTTAACATGACGATGTAGTGAATATGAAGGTGAAGTTAACATGATGATGTTGTTAACGTAATAATGCAGTTAACATGATGATGTAGTGAATACGATGGTGTAGTTAACATAATAATGAAGTTAACATCATGATGTAGCTAACATGATGATGTGGTTAATATGACGATGTAGTTGACATGATGATGTAGTAAGCATGATAATGGAGTTAACATAATGATGTAGTTAACATGATAATGTAGTTAACATGATGGTGTAGTCAATAGATGATGTAGTTAATATGATGGTGTAGTTAACATGATGATGTAGTTAAGATGATTATGTAGTTAACATGATGATGTATTTAACATGATGATGAAGTTAACATATTGATGTAGTTAACATAATGATGAAGTTAATATGATGATGTAGTTAACATGATGATGTAGTTAAAATGATGATGTAGTAAACATGATGGTGTAGTTAAAATGATGATGTAGTTAACATGATGGTGTAGTTAACATGATGATATAGTTAACATGATGATGTTGTTAACATGATAATGTAGTTAACATGATGGTGTAGTTAAACATGACGATGTAGTGAACATGATGGTGTAGTTAAAATGATGATGTAGTTAACATGATGGTGTAGTTAACATGATGATATAGTTAACATGATGATATATTTAACATGATGATGTTGTTAACATGATAATGTAGTAAACATGATGATGTAGGTAATATAATGGTGTTGTTAACATGATGATATAGTTAACATGATGATATAGTTAACATGATGATATAGTTAACATGATGATGTTGTTAACATGATAATGTAGTTAACATGATGGTGTAGTTAAAATGATGGTGTAGTTAAAATGATGATGTAGTTAATATAATGATGAAGTTAACATGATGATGTAGTCAAGATGATTATGTAGTTAACATGATGGTATAGTTAACATGATGATGTAGTTAATATAATGGTGTAGTTAACATGATGGTGTAGTCAAGATGATTATGTAGTTAACATGATGGTATAGTTAACATGATGATGAAGTTAACATGATGATGTTTTTAACGTGATAATGTAGTTAACATGATCATGTAGCAAACATGATGGTGTAGTTAAAATGACAATGTAGTGAACATGATGGTGTAGTTAATAGGACGATGTAGTCAACATGGTGTTGTAGATGATAATGTAGTTAATATGATATCATAATCTAAATGATAATGTAGTTCATATGATAATGTAATTTAAATGATTATGAAGTTAAGATGATAATGTAATTTAAATGATAATGTAGTTAAGATGATGCTGCAGTTAACATGTTGTTGTGAAGTTTACATGATGATAAGGTTAACATTATGATGTAGTTAACGTGATGATGAAGTTAACATGATGATGTATTTAATGTGATGATGAAGTTAACATGATAATGTAGTTAACGTGATGCTGTAGTTAACGTAATG